GTATAGGTACAACTGTGTATGTGTGTTTCTGTATGTATAGGTGCATGTGTATTGTTCCATAGATGCTTGTTTTTGAGACTCGGTCTTCACTGAACCTGGAGTTCACTAATTAGGCTAGACTGGCTAACTAGAACCTAAAGACCCTTCTGTCTCTACCATCCCAGTGCTGAGATTACAAGTGTATGCCACAGTGCCCACCCAGCCTTTTTACATTGGTTCTATAGATCAAACTCAGGCCTTCAGGCTTGCACGGCAGTTACCAACTGAGTCATCTCCCCAGCTCCCAAACTTATTAGACCATTTCACTAATGCCCACAAAACCTTGTGTGGTGACACTCTAGCCCAGTATCTGATCTCTCCTAAGAGGTGGATTAAAGACAGCAGTCAAAGCCAGGTGTGGCAGTGTATGCCTTTAATCCTAGCACTCTAGAAGCAGAAGCAGGTGGATCTCTGAGTCTGACCCAACCTGGTCAGTCAGGGCACCCTGTCTCAAGAGAGAAAGAGAGAGAGAGAGAAAGAGAGAAAGAGAGAGAGAGAGAGAGAGAGAGAGAGACAGACAGACAGACAGAGAGACAGACAGACAGACAGACAGAGAGTGCCAAGCCAAGTCAAATGTTCCAGCTATTTGGGAAAGTGAGTTGAGGATCAGTTGAACTTATAACTTCAAGATCAGCCTGGGCAATAAAGCAAGACCTTCTATATATATAAAAAAAATAATACCCAACAAGGCCGGGCATGGTGGTGCATGCCTTTAATCCCAGCACTCAGGAGGCAGAGGCAGGCGGATCTCTGTGAGTTCAAGGCCAGCCTGGTCTACATAGTAAGTTCCAGACCAGCTAAAATAAAATGGGACTAGAGTGATAGCTCAGCAGTTAAGGGTACTTGCTGCTCTTGCAGAGGACCCAGGTTTACTTCCCAGCACCCAAAGGGCAGCTCACAAACATCTATCACTCCAAATCCAGGGGGCATCAAGCATGCATGTATTATAAGACACACACGTAGACCCATACAAATAATGTAAAATAAAAATAAAAATTATTTGGGAGGCAGAGGTAGGTTGATATCTATGAGTTCAAGACTTAGCATGGTCTCATAGTGTTCCAGGCCAGTCAAGGTTATGTATGAGACCCTACCTCAAAAAGAAAAAGTAAATTAAAAACAGACAGCAACAAAGCATGGCCATCAAGTCTTTGGGTCTCTTTCCATAAAGGGGACTCTATGTTGCCACTCAGTAGCACTTGACAAAAGTGACACCGTGTAAATTTCCAGGCCTGGGCATTAGAGAGTAGTGGTTTCTACTTCCTGCCTCTTGGGAACCTTTCTGGATGCATTCTTTCAGAACCCAGCTTTCAAGCTGTAAGAAGCCCAAGGCACATGGAGAGGCCACAAGTATGCATGTTGTTAATGGCTCTAGCTGCGCTCCCAGATGACAGCCAGCATCACCTGCCTGCCCACCTTACGTGAGACTTGTGCACGTTGTCCAGTGGAGCCTTCAGCTGACTGCAACCATTTGAGACCACAAGCAAGAATTGCCTAAGTAATGCAAGTATCCTGATGCAAAGGATGAAATTGGAAAAGCAAACTTCCATTCAGCCTTAAAGGGAGTAAGATTTTGACACATATTACAATACTGGTGGATCCTGAAGACAGTATGTACATGAGTAAGTCAGATGCAAAATGACAAATGCTAATACTGTATCCAATGCATGAGGTTCCTAAAATAGGTGAGGTCACAGAGAACAGAGCTTGCCATGGCTGGGGCAAGGGAAGTGGGGAGTTAAAAATCAGTGTTTAATGAGCAGAGTATCTGTTTGAGAAAAGGAAGAAAGTTCCAGAGATGGAAGGTTGTAATGGCTGCACACTTCAATGACTTAATGCTACTGAGTTGCATACTTAAAATGGTTTTTCAACAGCTTCATTAAGCTGGGCATGGTGGTGCACACCTGCAGTCCCAGCACTGGGAGCAGAGGCAGAAAGATCACCATATCAGAGGCCAGCCTGGTCAACACAGTGAGCTGCAGGCCAGATCTTGTCTCAAAACAAAACAAAACAAAATGAAACAAAACAAAAACAAACAAAAAGCTCCATTAGCATAAATGTGTAAATATACATACTGCTGATCACTTTTGTCTTCTTTTTTTTGTGTCCTCTATCTCAGAGATCTGCCTGTTTCTGCCGCCCAACTGCTGGGATTAAAGGCATCACCCTGGTTTGCTGCTCACACTTTTTTGAAATCTCATGTTTGAAATCGATCCTGCCACCATGACTGTTTAGTGTGTGTAGATGTGTACACTGACATAAAAATGTAGGAGGGGAAAATGTACTTACCAAAAGGCTAATGGTCTCTGCAGTAGTGGGATTATGAACAAATTAAAATTTTCTTTTTGTTTTGAGAGAGGGTCTCATGTAGCCTAGGTTGACCTCAAACACACTATGTAAGGCCAGAGTGACAATGAACTCATGATCCTCCTGCCTCAGCCTTTCAAATGTGAGAATTATCTAGGTATGAGCCACCATGCCCAGCAATTTTTTTCTTTCTTTAAAAAAACAAACAAACAAACTACCAAGTCTGTGGTGGACATTCTAGACCAAGAAATTTAATTATTAACCTGGATTTAAACTTTGTATAGCAGTAGAGATACTATAAAGAAAATGGAAGAACAAGCAACATCCCAGAATCAAGAGTTGTCCAGCTAAGCCCAGTGTACCGAAAGAACCACGGGAAGTAACGATACACGGTTGTCATGCTACTGAGTTTTGGTGTCGTTTTTATGCAATGGATGATCGCAGTCTCCTACCAACCTTCTTATTCCACACCAACCACACTAATCGTCTTTCTGACCCTTGACTGTACCATGCTAGTTCCAGCCTTAGCACCTTTGTGACATCTCCATCACAGATTACCTTCCTTCTGACTCTTAGTTTGGCTGGTTCCTTCCCATCCTTCAGGTTCCATCCCTGACAATCAAATATCACCTACCCATGTCCTTCATAGCACTAACATGTACCACTCAGCAATTATTTTACCTATGTAAAAGTTTACTTGCTGCCTCCTCCACTAGACTCCGAGCTCCATCAGAACGGGGGCCTTGTCTGTTTAGTTACTGATTGCATCCCCAGCATCCAGACCAGTGCTTGGGAAGGAAGTGCTTCTTTATTATGTGTTGAAGAAAGGCAGGCACCTGGGAAGCCCTAATTCCCTCAAACTACCTCTTCAATATCATCTTCTTTTCCCCAAAATTGAATGGTTAAGGCACAAGTTTAAGCTCTCATGTATTTCTTACAACTACACGCTAAGGGACACTCCCTGATCAATGAGCCCATGCACACAACACTGCCCCTTCCTGCCCATTAGGACTGGGTGCTTTGTCTGGCTCTTGGAGATTCACTTTTGGAGCACCTTTTAGAGTTGTGGCATAATTTTATTGTGGCACATCATCAATGGAGACAAATCCTACACTTGATCTTAGCCAGAAGACTGAGAAGCACTATTAGGGACAAACCCTTATCTTTTGAGTCTGTCTTCCAGTGATGCAATGGCTGCCTGTCATTCAGAAGTGAGTAGGGAGAATCTGGCAAGTGATCAAATGGAACAGTGTTATCTCAGATCAGCAACGAAGGAGATTAGACTCTGACCGACTGAGTAGCCCAAGTGGCTCTTGTACTAGTTGGAAAGAAAAGTCCCAGAACAGAGTGAGCAGCTGCTGACAGTACAGCAACTTGATGCTCGGTCATTTAGAACAGATGCTTTAGCCAGGTCTGGTAGCATACACTTTTCTAGTAATCCCAGCACGGGGAGGCAGAGGCAGGAGGATCAGGAATTTAAGTACATTCTTGGCTACATGGTGAGTTTGAGACCTGCCTGGGCTATAAAGTGAGATCCTGTCTCAAAAAAAAAAAAGAATGGATTCTTTGGAGTCAGACTATCTAGGTTAAAATCCCAGTTCTGCTTCAAGCTTCATGACTTTGGACAAGTGACTCTGTTCTTCTTGGTTTCCATTGCTTTATGGGTAAAGCTCAGATGACAACACCCACCCCACAGACTCATTAAATCTGAGTCAATAACTATGAAGATGTAGAAACAATGTCTGGCATATAGCAGTCATGAACTATGTATTAGCTCTTATTACTTAAATATTTACATTAGAGCCAAACCAGTCATGCAACAGCCCTACCACCTACCACCTTGGGTAAGTTATTTAACTTCACTGAGCTCAGCTTCCTCATTTGTAAAACAGAGGCCTTGTCAAGTGGGTAGTTCAAGGGTAGAGGGCTCGCCTAGCATGTGTGAGGCCCTGAGTCTGCCACTTCATGAAATCTCTCACAGGCTTAGTTAAAATAGGCCTGTGAGTGTGAGTGACAGCTAACTTTGGTTGGCTTACTATATGCCATGCACTTCATATGCCAGAAAGCAAAACTTACTGAAGCTCTTCTTGTTAACCCAAGGTAGAAACTGGGACCAGAGAGCTGGAGTAGCTTGCTCAGAGTCTCCCAAAAAAGAGGTCACAGTGGGTCAGAGTTCAGGCCATGCTCACTTTTTGTCTCTACAGGGGTCTATCACTGGCCTACTGACCATCAAGTGCTACAGCTACACCTGAATTCACCTGCTTCTCTTACCCCCTAACCTAATATGACTACTTTTGTGGTGGTGGTGGTAGACCTGGGGGCAAAATTCAGGGCCTCATGCCTGCTAGGCAAGGTTTGTGCCAGCCCCCATTCTGACTTAGCCCTAGCTCTTCCCTGCCATGCTAGAGCATCAATGGCCAATCACCATGAGTTTATCAATCTGACTAGAGACTGGTTCCCCAAACACCAGAGCTGGATTGTCCTCGTTTCTGTGTCTCACACATGACAGATGATCTACAAATATTTCACAGCCTGTACCTGTGTCCTGCTAACCTATTTTTTAATAGGGTCTACTGGCACACAATTAATAAAGCCTGGCTAGTAATTATGAGGATGACATCATTTCTCAGTCTGCACCTGAGCTGTTCTCCAGGCACTGCTTCCAATTTTCACCTTGTGAAGAGGAAGACAAAAGAGGAGTGATTCTCACGCCTGGAGGTGGAAATCGACATGCATGTGACTGCACAATGTCCTTTTTATGACATCCCTTATCAGCCCAGACTCTTGCTCAACCTCAGGGTAGGTCAACATCCCGCTGTGTCAGGCACTGAGATGGGAACAGATCATACGGGATCCCAAGTTCAACTGACAGAACAGAGTACCTGCACCTTTGGTCTTACATGAAGGTAGGGTAGAGGGGGGAAAAGGCCAGGAAAGAGCAGAATGCACGAGTCCTCCCTAAACCCAGTACTGCTATCCAAGTACCTCTGGATCCATTGTTCTTTGTAGGAGGCACTGAAGGAAATGCCTGTGAACAGCTCTGACTTATTGAAACTCATATGAAACTGGTCCCAGAATGGCCCAAAGGGATTTCCTTCCTGCAGAAAGAGAGTAGAAATTTTACCAAGTAGGAGGGAAAGCCATCTGGGGATGGGGATGGGGGCAAGAGACTGCAGAGAGAGGGGCTTAGGGGATGTCATGACAACTGGATAACCAGTAAAATACCCTCAATGAGAGAGCCCCTTGGCCTGGGCTAAGGAGAGGACTTGGCTTCTAGCAGAATTTGAAAGAATCTATTCTGTTTATATGCCATGTCCCACTAACCTTAATGCACTGGTGGGACCTGGCAAAGAGTGAACCTTGGGCTGGAACTACAGTATAGAGTTTTAAGAGACTTTCAAGTCCAGCAAATACAACACCCTCATTTTCTTCTCTCTCTCTCTCTCTCTCTCTCTCTCTCTCTCTCTCTCTCTGAGATGGGGTCTCCTGTAGCCCTAGGTGGCTTAGAACTCACTATGTAGACCCAAGCTGGCCTTGAACTCACAAAGATCCGCCTGCCTCTGCCTCCCACAATGCCCGGCCTAACAACACCCTCATTTTCACAATGGAAACAGATGCACAGTAGGCAAGACCAAGGTCAGTCACACAGCTGATAAGGGCAGTGCTAGGACTATAAGCTAGGTCTCCCTCCTCAAATTATACAACTCTTTTACTACTCGCCTCAAACTGTATCATAAGCACCAAAAGACATATTGGGGTGTGTCATATTCTCAAGTACCCAGAATTCAGTAATTTCTACTGCTCATCTATGACAGCTCTTCATCTACCCATGGGAGGCAGGAAAGCATTCAAGTTAAGAGAGTGGACAAAAGAGCCAAATTATAAAGGGGAGGCTTCCAGCTTGACCTTGCTGGCTGTGTTTCCTCTGTACAAGGAGGGTGTTAGTAGCACTTTCCCTACACAGCAGTCTGAGGACTAAAGGAGTCAATATACATAGAGCTGTTGGCTTAGTATCTGACATGTAGTAGCGCTATGTGAGCATTAGTTATTACTGACACTACATGTTACAGTTCATAGGCGCTCTGATACCTGGCCTGCTTTCCATGAGCCACCTCGAGCAGGGAGAAATAAAGGCTCAGAGAAGCAAAGTGTGCCAAAGGTAACACTGCTAACCAATGCCAAAAACAGATCCGAATCTCCATCTTTCCATTCTAAGCCCTTCTAGTGCTTTTCCCCCTGCACTGCCATGTAGTCTCGGGCTGCAGGACATGCAGCAAGATCTACCTTCATTGGGCATGTCTTCTTATCAGGGCTTCGCTGGGCTGCCACCTCAAAGCAGTATGCCACCCGCTTCTCAGGGGGCCAGTGAATGGGTGCCAACTTCTCCATGAAGTCCTCCAGACTGACAACCCGATGGTAGGCCTGGAGAGGCTCTAGCTTGAAGTACTTCTGGTAGGACACATGGAGCTACAGGAAAAAGAGAAAAAGGCGAGGTGTAGGTCCCGACACAGTGTTCCCACATTTACTAAAAACCATACACTCCAAGACCCAGACTACATAATTACATAATGAAAAACTTAAGATATCAAAGTGGCCTTGGACTATAGCCCAGAGGTAGAGTACTGCCTAGCAATGTATGAAATCCTAGGCTTGAACACTAGCACGGCGGCAACAACAGGACATCAAGGTTAGGGCAGAGACACACTAGAAGACATCTCCAAAGTCAAGAACGAATGGTTGTATCTCTAGTGTTCAAAAATGCCTGCTGGGTGGATCTCTGTGAGTGCAAGGTCAAGCCTGGTCTACATAGACAGTTCTAGGTCAGTCAGGGCTATATAGTGAGACCCTGCCTCAAACTATACAAAACAAACAAAAGCCTGCTGATCTATAAGAAAAGATAGGCAAATGATTGAGGTGAACAAGCATGCACAGCAAAGGAAACCCAAATACTGACACACCAAAGAAGGTGCAGTCTCTCCAGTCGTCAGGAAAAAGTAAACTGCAGTATCACTTCTCACCGTGAGAGCAGCAAAAATGTTAAAGTGAACGCTAATTGTTGGAACAAATGTGGAAAAAATGAGCCCTCTGTACATGCTGGGGCAGCCCCTTTGCCTGTGATGTGTCAGTATGCACAGAACGACATGCTACTGTGCACTCTGAACCTGCAAGTCTGGGAGAATGGGAATTGAGAATCCCATTTCCCAGACTCATCTTCTCTGCTAGGTATTTGCCCTGAAGAGGATCTGGCACTTTCTACAAATGAGTCGGAAGGCTCAGTGTCACAGGAAGTACAGGAAGGAGGTGGAAGGAGTCCTATCATAAAATCCCTGAGGGTGGCTGCCTCAGGGGAGACAGAAGGACTAGGACTAGCTATTATCAGCTTTACCTGCAATGCTTTTTTTTTTTAAACAGAAGTCAGGCATGGTGGCACATGCATGTAATCCTGCCATTTGGGAGGTAAATAAGATCAGGAGTTTGAGGTCAGTCTGGGCTTCCTGAGACCGTCTCAGAAATGAAAATAAGGAAAATAAAAGTAGACAAGAAAGCCAGGCGTAGTGGCTCACGTCTTTAATCCCAGCACTCAGGAGGCAGAGGCAGGCAGATCT